CCTCTGATTGGCCGTTGTGTTCACGAGCTCATCGGATGTGTCTGTGATTGGCCACAATGATCAGCGCTTCATAAACATGTAAAGATACATCAATGAGGCTCTTCAGCGAGCGCTAACACACACACGCCAGCGTTTCAGAGTGTAATGAATTATGAAATTACAAGGTCTTTTCTTTCTTTACCTTTTTTTAAAGCGCTCCTACTTTCAGAACTCTGAAACGCTGGCGTGTGTGTGTGTGTTAGCGCTTGCTGAAGAGCCTCATTGATGTATCTTTACATGTTTATGAAGCGCTGATCATTGTGGCCAATCACAGACACATCCGATGAGCTCGTGAACACAACGGCCAATCAGAGGCATTTACGATACCGCTAAAAGCGTCACCGTTTTAAAATTAGTGTCGACTGGGTAGCGTAGTCGCTAGTTCATCCAGCGCTACTCCCGCCCCCCCGAGAATCCAGATGGTGATTGGCCAGCAGTGTTTGTTTGACTTTTCTATCCTCCAATAGCCCTGTAGACCCCGTGCGTGGCCCTCACACTGACCACTTTTATCCCACATCTTCCTCTTTTAAACTCCACAATGAACATTTTAAAGAAGACACTGATCCTTCCGTGTGCGAGGACGCTTGAATCATGAAATGGCCTTCCAGAAGAAGTGTTGTCCTCGTGCTCGTCTCAGTGCTAGTGGCGTAGGGACTCGCGTGTACATAACGGCTTAGACTAGAGCTTCGTTCAGCGTTTCGGTCCCCCCCCCCCCCCCCCCCGGTGTTTTTGCAGAAGTGGAGAAGAGGATCCACGAGAAGGAAGAGTTTTGTAGCAGGATTTGCTGTTAAGTGTCTGTTAGCATTTCTAGAAGTAGTTGAATTGTGTTTTTTAAAAACTGATATACTGATATTATAACTTCAGATGTTTTTTTCCATTTGGGATTTGCTGGTGAGGGTTTTGGTCCGGCTGACCCTAAGAGCCACGGCCGCTGGTCTGATGTTTGTATTTATAACTTTTATTTTTTGTTTGTTCGGTTTCAATAAAACTCAATCAAGCAACTTCCACTGCTTCCAGGACTCTAGTTGTGTGTGTGTGTGTGTGTGTGTGTGTGTGTGTGTGTGAGAGAGCGTGTGTAATAGAGTGTTTGAGAATGAGGGAGAAAGTGTTTGTGTGTGTGTGTGAGAGAGAGAGTATTTAAAAAATTGTCCTTTGTAAAGGTGGTAAACACCCTGGTGTAAAAATCACAAATACGCAGATCTAAGTGTGTAAAAGCTGATGAGAATATCGCTTAAAAATAAATTATATTTACTTATGACAGACACCATTTAAAATGTATTATAACATTATTATAAAAACTTCCTTATATGTGATTTAAATGCAAGTAGCTTACAAATAAATCATTTTTAACCTTTAATATTAGAATGATGAACTAACTGGGGCTCCTTATGGTTTACAGCATTAGTTGAGAGATGCTGTTTTATTATGTACTGTACCTGATAGGCCCAACTTTATGTGTAAATTTAACAGTAAGTCAAATTGTCCTTTTTTTTTTTCTTGAAGCAAATATCGTCTTCTCAGAATGCCCCATAATGCTTCATTTACATGTTAAAATCATAAAAACCGTCTCATATCGTGGGTGATGAAGCCCCAGACCCCTACAACACATTACTTTGTCAACATGTCACCTTTTTCACCACTGTGTGTGTGTGACAAAAAGTGTTTGAGAAAGTGTGTGTGTTTGAGAAAGTCTCTGTGTGTGTGTGTGTGTGACAAAGAGTGTTTGAGAAAGTCTCTGTGTATATGTGTGTGTGTTAAAGTGTTTGAGAGTGTGTGTGTGTGTGTCAGTGTTTGAGGAAGTGTGTGAGCGCTGGAGCTGCTGTGGAGGACTCTGGTGGAGCGGGAGTACACCTGTTCGCATCTTAATGGTCCCATGGAATAAAAATTTCACTTTGAGTTTTTTTACATGGAGAACTTTGTCAGTAAAACATGAGCCAGTGTCTTCTCTACACTACAAAGCTTACTGATATACATGCTAATGCAGCTTTAGAACCATAGCAAATCAGCAACGTGAAAAGCCAACAACGTAGGCTAGCGTTAGCTACATGATGATAACTGTAACAGCATACATAAAACAAACCAACTGAAGTACTGTATCTAGACACAATATGTCAAATAACCATCGGAGACGTCCAGCTGTAGCCGCTAGCTTACGCTGCAAGCGTTTCTCCATCCGGGTCAGACCCTGGGTCAAACTGGACAGCCGGAGCTGTGTCTGTGAGTCATGTAAACATCAGCGCATGGGACCGTGGCCGCAAGTTGGTCAAGGCCCCGCCCCCACCCTCCACCTGGCCACACCCCCACCCTTCCCCTGGCCCCGATTTTCTCCTCATTAGCATTTAAAGCTACAGACACAGAAATGGCACGTCCTAGGAAAGCTCACTGTGGGACTGGCTCGTAGCGGCTGTAATCTGCACTGAGGATGAATTTCGGGAAAGACTTCAGATACAGTATTAGGGGACCACTAAGGCCTATATAAAGCATCCAAAACCCAGCATGTCATAGGACCTTTAAGAGACGACACTCTGTCCACTGTGTGTCTGGGCCGAGGCCCGTCTGTACAGTAAACTATCACCTTTCATTCCCTTTAAATCATGATTTTGTAGCCATTTTTAGGTACTGTATTTTACTAAATAAAAAAGGCAACATAACTGTTTCCCAACCCTATTCCAGGGGCCGGTTCCAGACAGGAGATTAAGTGAAAACGATCTCGGTTACTTCACTGTAACCTTGTTCCCTGAGAAAGCGGAACGAGATGCTGCGCTGCTCAGCGCATTGGGAACGTCTTTAGTTGTGACCAGCTGTGAATATTGTGTGTAACACGTCGATAGAATTGACCCGGAGGTAATATAGCCTCGGTCGATGACGTCATCGGCGCGCACCCGCAACACGAGGCTATAAATAGATGAGCCGCAGGTGCATCGTCAGGATATTTTGTCTGAAGAGCAGTCCTGGGACATCTTCAGCACGGCAAAGTAGCGCAGCATCTCGTTCCGCTTTCTCAGGGAACAAGGTTACAGTGAAGTAACCGAGATCGTTCCCTTTCGAAAGCTACAATCGATGCTGCGCTGCTCAGCGCATTGGGAACGAGAATACCCACGCCGCCGTGCTTGAACATGTCTGGACCCCAACGGTTGTGCATGTGCTCACAAGAACGCAAGAAGGCCTCAGACACTAGCCTGTGATGTTGACTCAAGGACATGAGAGCCCGGAGTGGCATGAACATCCAAACTATAAAACCTTATGAATGTGTGCGGAGAGGACCAACCTGCCGCATCACAAATCTGTTGTAAGGGGGCACCCCTCGCCAAAGCACTAGAAGAAGCGACCCCCCTGGTAGAGTGAGCTCTGAGACCTATAGGCGAAGCTTGACCGCGCGCCTCATAAGCCAAAGCAATTGCATCCCTGACCCAATGAGACATGGTCTGCTTGGTGGCAGCTCCTCCTCTGTTACTACCACCATAACAGACGAATAATTGCTCTGACTTACGGCACTGGCTAGTGCGGTGGATGTAAGCCTGAAGAGCACGGACTGGACACAGTCTATGAGATTTCTCCTGCTCCGGCGTTGTAAACGGTGGAGGACAGAAGGCTTCTAGAATGACCGGATGTACAGACGAAAATGGAACCTTAGGCAGGTAATCAGGATGAGGATGCAAAATTACTTTCACCATTCCTGGGGCAAAGTCTAAGCAGGATGGAGAGATAGACAGAGCCTGCATATCCCCAATTCTCTTCAAGGAAGTTATTGCCATTAGAAAAACCATTTTTAGAGTCAGAAGTTTATCAGACGCTGACTCTATAGGTTCAAAGGGGGTTTCAACCAGACCCTCGAGGACTATAGCTAAATCCCACGAAGGGATCTTGGTTTTTACTGGAGGCCTCAGTCGCCTGGCCCCACGAAGGAAGCGAGAGAGCAGAGGATGTCTCCCGAGCGGCGCCCCGTCAACCAAGGCGTGGCAAGCCGAAAGAGCGGCCACATAAACCTTAAGAGTAGCAGGGCATGTGCCTGTTGATAATTTCTCTTGCATGAAGTCCAGAACTGAAGCAACCTGGCAGTTGACTGGATCTACATTGTGTACAACACACCACCTTTCAAAAACACCCCATTTACTGGCATAACTTTGTCTAGTGGAGGAAGCCCTAGCACTCAGAATAGTCTCAATAACAGCAGGCGAAAGCCCAGTGTCCCTCAGTTGGTTCCCATCAGGGGCCAAACATGAAGATTCCACAGGTCGGGCCTGGGATGGAATATCGTGCCCTCCGCCTGAGACAGAAGGTCCCTCCTCTCCGGAATCGCCCAAGGCGAGCCGTCGAGGAGAGATATTATCTCCGAGAACCACACTCTGTTCGGCCAACGTGGCGCTATCAGCAAGAGGCAAGACCCTTGTTGGCGAACTCTGGCTAGAACTCCCGGGAGCAAAGAAACTGGAGGAAACGCATACAGGCGCATCTTGGGCCATGAGTGCGCCATCGCATCCAGACCCAATGGAGCTGGGTGACTCAGAGAGAAGTAGAGGGGACATTGCGCTGTCTGCTGGGAGGCGAAGAGGTCCACCTCTGCTTTGTAAAATTTGGTCCAAATCTGTTTCACTACTTCCGGGTGGAGTTTCCATTCCCCTGTCGGTAGTGTCTGTCTGGACAGTAAATCTGCTCCCACATTCAAATGCCCTGGAATGTATACTGCCCTGAGTGACAGGAACTTGTCCTGGGCCCAGAGAAAAATCTGCCTCGCTATTCTGTTCAGATTGCGTGAGCGCAGACCCCCCTGGTGATTTATATAAGAGACTGCTGCTGTGTTGTCCACCCGCACTAGGACATGACAGCCCCTCAATTGATGGAGAAAATATTTCAGAGCCAGAAATACGGCCATCAACTCGAGGCAATTGATGTGCCAATCGAGCTGATGACCTTCCCATTCCCCTTGAGCTGGACGGCCATCTAAGACCGCTCCCCAGCCC